ATTCATTTTTTTCTCGAGGAAATTTTAGAACTTTACTGAAAAACTTTTCAGCAATACCAAGCGACTACAGGATGAATTAACAGCAAACGCCTGTTTGGCAGAACTACGCAAAACGCGTGATCGCATCGGCTATCGTGGTGTGTACCGTATTTATTATTTTTTCGCACAATGTCTACAGCTTTTACTTAAACTGTTAGTGTTAGTGTTATCACTTATTATTACCATTATTGTTATTATTATTGTTATTGTCGTTATTACTATCATTATTATTATTACTATTAATATTGTTAGAAGTTAATTCACTTACGTTTCACTCTAATTCACTCAAATTCACTTACGTTTCGCAAATTTTTACACATTATTTCAACATTTTGATTGAGTTCGGAAATCATTTCTGACGCTTGTAGTTTTTTTGGCATTCTAGCTGTATCGTTTACAATTCTTTTTAGCTCTTCCTCTTCCCTTATTCGCATGCAGGCCCTGCAATTATATTTCAAGATGAGCGGGAAGGAGTGGCAAGTACGGTGTTTCTCAATTTAAGTGATAAAATATCGAAAAATAAGAGGTCGGACTTCGAATTTTCTTTGCCGCCTAGCTGAGTATTGAACTGACCCAAAAGCAACACCTTTAGATTGATAAATGCTGCACTTATCCTATTCTGATTTCACATATATTAGATTCTGAGTATTATTTGTTTGTTTTAGTAAGGGAATCTCAAAAGCTCATGCAAATACTGATTATCGTTTAATGTTTGGTTGCAAGTACGTGTCGTACATTGACATAATCTGCGTCCAAGCAAGAATGAATATATTTTGTTAACAAACAGTGAGCGCTGCTTATTAGTGAGTGGCACTTTCGAGAAATTAAACGACTACTCAGGCGGCTTCTAAAGAGGTAGCGCGCTGACATCGAACGGGAGGTGAATTTGAGCTGGAGGCAGCTGAGCACTGAAAGGTCCGGTAAGTGGTAATACCTTCAGTTACGCCACTAACATGGAATCATCACATCGATTGCCGAGGCGACCTTGTTAATTTTGATGTTACGCGGTGTACCGGCTGTAGACGTCCTTGCCGACGTAAAAAATTCTCAATACAGATACGAGCAAAACCTTGCAAATTTGAGTTTTTCAATCCAGTCATCTCGGTCCTCGGTTGTTTTTGCTTTCAGATACCAAATACTGTTTTTCGTGTAGACCACAAACATTTTTAACCCTCGTGGTACTATGTACACATCCTACAAATTCAAAATTCTTACAATTAAGACTAAAGTAACATTCAGCACGCTTCACTACTCTCTGGCCGCTATGAGAAACAAGATTGTACTATTGAGCTTTTTTACGACGAGCTTCGTGAAGTGCCAATTATAAAAACCACTAAGCAGTGCCCAGTCAAAGTTAAAAGAACACAGGGAAGGTTGTCAGTGCGATATAAGAATCCCTTCGAAATTGGCTGTACAGAATCATGTAGATGAGAGAGAGACCAAAAACAAAGAACAGGAGAAAGTTACCAGT